ATTGATTTTATCTTGACCTGCTCCTTGAAATCTTTTCAGCTCATTTATCCTGTCAATTCTACTACCCGTTCAAGGGCAAGTTTCAGAGTCTCTTCTGACATCCATTTTGTTTTTTAATTCCTTTCCTGTCTTTTTAATGACCTTTTGCTTTCTTCATGCATGATGTTTTTGATGTCATCCCACAATTCATCTGGTTTTCGGTTATTGGTGTTCAGTGCATCAGATCTATTCTTTAGATGATCTCTAAATTCAGGAGGGATATATTCAAGGTCATATTTTGGCATTTGTGGACTTCTTTTCATTATGTTCAGCTTCAACTTGAACTTGCATATGAGTAGTTGATGGTCTATTCCATGAATAGCTCCTGGCCTTGTTTTGTCTGGAGAGATTGAGCTTCTCCATCACCTCTTCCCACAGCTGTACCGACTCTGATTCTTGCTTATTCTGTCTGGCAAAGTCCATGTGTATAGCCTCTATTTGTATTGTTGAAATGGTATTTGCGATGAATAAATCATTGGTCTTGCAAAATTCTTTCATGCAATCTCCAGTGTCATTTCTATTACCAAGGCCATATTTTTTTACTACCAGTGATTCTTTGTTTCCAACTTTTGCATTCCGATCACTAATGATAATGAACATATCTTCATTGTATGTTTGGTCAATTTCAGATGGCAGAAGTCAGTAGAAATCTTCATTTTCCTCATCTTTGGCTTTGGTGTTTGGTGTATAAATTAGAATAATAGTAGTATTGACTGGTCTTCTTCATAGATGTATGGTATTATCCTATCACTGACAGCATTGTACTTCAGGATGAATCTTTATACATTCTTTGTGATGATAAATGCCATGCCGTTCTTCAATTTATCATTCCCAGCACAGGAGATCATATGATTATCTGATTAAAAAATGTCCAAAACTAGTCCATTTCACCTCACTAATGCCTAAGATATCGATCTTTATGTGTTCCATTTCATTTTTGACAACTTCTAATTTTCCTAGATTCATATTTCAAACATTCTATGTTCTGATTATTAATGGATGTTTGCAGGTGTTTTTTCTCATCTTGACACTTGCCACATCAGCAAATGGAGGTCCCAAAAGCTTTATTCTTTCTGCATCATTAAGGTCGGCTCTACTCTGAGGAGAGAGCTCTTCTTCAGTCGTATTTTGAGTGCCTTCTGATATGAGGGGCTCATCTTCTGGTACTATATTGGATGGTGTTTCAGGGCTATTCGTGAAGTTTTCCATTAATATATAAGATAGTGTTTCATTGTTATTCATAAGGTTTTCACTGGCCAATTCTTTGAGAAGTGGATGGCCTCTTCCTTCTTCTGAGTCTGTCTTAGTCTGGAATCTCTGCTGAAACCTGTCCACTATGGGTAACTCTGCTGACATTTGAAACACTAGTGGCACACCAACACCCAAGCCACCACAGTATGACAAACTGACAGACAGCCTTATCTCGCTTAGCTGTTCCAAACTGCTCTGCTCATTTCCTGTTCTCCTCTGCCCTGCTCGCTTACCCAGCCTGCTCCCGGGGTGTTCCACACGAACACCTGCCTTCTGCTGCTCTGGGGCTGGCTTACTGCGCCCTGCCTCCAGGCTGCTTGCTCCACATGCCTGCTGCTGATCCAGGGGCTGGCTTACTGTGGCCTACCCCCAGGGTACTCACTGCACACAGGCAGACACCTACATTCTTATGGTCATGGGGCTGGCTTACTGCTCTTTAAGTGCCTAGCTTCTTTATATACAGAAAGCATAGGTATTACATATAATATATAATAAAGCTAACTGATCTATTTATAACAGTTTGGCTATTTTGTTAATGTTGAAAATTATATTTCTGTGTAACATCAATTCATTTTCTGTTAGTTTATATTGACTTTCCTGGTGATCTGCTTCTAAAAAATCTGCCATTGAAAAGCCTGTGGAGCACAGTTCTACTCTGACACAAATGGGTTTGCCATGAATCAGAATTGTTTGCAACTGGGTATACTAACTTTGTACTTTATTAATTTTTGTTAGAATATTTTCTAATTATATAAACTTATAAAATTGTATCTGTTAGAAGACGGTGTATTTCTTAGTGTATATTACATATTATAAAACATACAGTAGTTTAAGTAGAGAGGTAGAGAATGCATTTTCATTTCAGTATTACATATATATATATATATATATATGTATGTATGAATTAATATATATCTTAATTTAAAAAAAATCAGATGTGATAATCCAGTTCTTTTATTCTTGGTTTGCTTTTGATATGAGTAGAAATAGCATCTTTACCCAAGTGATAAATGTATAAATAAGGGTGTGTACCCCAGCTTTGGAGTTTGGGTATTCATCCTAAGTTTTTGATTTTGCGCATTTCACTCAATGTATAATTTTTTCAAGACTCTTGTCACTAAAAGCAGAGAAATGCGAAATGAGAACATCAGATAACCATCCTTTGAGTAATTCTTCCCTTCTCTAGAGAACTTTCCCAACTAATTTGAAAAGGTGCTGTTTAATATCAATGTGCTAGCCTTACTTTTTTCACCATCTCATAAATATATGAATCATTTTATATGTACTTAGTATGTACATTCTTGTATGAATATTTGACAGTAAATATTGATAATAGATTATAAATCACAATATTGTATTTGAAATTGTTTATCTTGTAAGTTGCTGTTGAATTGCTTCTGACTCCATGTGTACAAAGTAGAACTGCTGCATAGATTTTTCAGTACTCTGATCATTCAGAAAAGATCTCTAGGCTTTTTTCTGTAGATGCCTGAGGATGGGTTTGAACCACCAATTTTCAGCTTCTAGTTGAGTGCTTAAACATTGGGGCCACCAGGCAATCCATATATATACTATCTCATAATTATGCAACTTTGGATTTGGGAAATATTGATACTATTCATGAGCTAGGCTTTCTGTCTTCTAGAGAAATAAATTTTAGACTAGGAGTGTGGAGGGAGAGGCTAGAGTGGGAAAACATGGTTTGACTTCATTATAACAGATTCTGTGGCATCGTATGCTTTGTAATAAGAATTGCCTTGTATTTTTTTCCCTTTTCTGTGACACTAGATTTCTTTTGTGTGTATGCTAGTTTACACTCCATTTATTTCTATATCATGATTAGTATATTAAAACACGTAAAAATATGTGTGAAATATCCTAACTTGAAATGACTTTTTACATTTTAATAGGAGCCCTAGTGGTATGGTTACCAGAAGGCTGGTGGTTCCGACCCACCAGCCACTCCTCGGAAGGAAGATTGGGCAATCTACTTCCGTAGAGGTACCACCTCAGAAACCCAAGGAGGGGTCACTATAAGTCGGATCTGACTTGATGGCAGTGAGTTTTGGTTTTGGTTTTGGGCAACCAAAAGATGAGCAGTTGGAACACACCAGCCGCTCCATGGGAGCAGGATGTGGCAATCTTCTTCTATAAGGATTACGTAAAGCCTCGAAAACCTCCTGGGACAGTTCTACTCTGCCTTATAGGATCTCTGTGTGTCAGAATTGACTGGATATCAGTGGATTTTTTTTTTTGCTTTTAATTGTTTAGTGATAGAATTTTTATATAACTTTAATTCAACAAATTGTTTTTAGTGTTGCTATGTATGATAATCAGTAAAAACAAAACCAGTTATCACTGAGTTGATTTTAACTCATGGCAGTCCCATGTATTAGAGTAGAAGGAGCTTCCTAGGTTTTCATGGCTGTGACCTTTTGGCAGCAGGTTGCCAGGACTTTATTCTGAGGTATCACTGGGTAGGTTCAAACTGCCAACCTTTAGATTAGTAGTTGTGTACTTAACATTTTGTGCTATTCAAGGGATGCAGTGTATTCTGAGAATGCAGAAAAGTCATCTGGAAATAAAAGCACTGTAAGACAAAAACAGAGGAAAAAAGTTAAGGCCAATGTTAAAGAACAGCTTGATAAGAGACGGCCTGAAGATGAAAATATAAATATGTCTTTTACGTCCCAAGACAAGTTACAAAGAGATTCAGACAATTTTATAATGATTATGATTTAGTAGTGGCTCTTAGAATATTAGACCTAGAGATATTTCAGAAATAATCTTGTGTACCATTGTTTAGGATATTGCTACGAACATATTTTCTGTAGCATTATATATAATCATGGCATGCATTTTGGATTGTAAGTCAGTATATTATCTGGGCTATAATTATAAATCTGAGTTTCAATTTTTTTCTAAGAGAATTGAAGGGGAAAGACTAGTAAACAAGTTAGTTATCAAAACAATAATAAGATAGGATAAAAACCAAAAACCAAACCCATAGCCTTTGAGTTGATTCTGACATAGCAGCTCCCATTAGGTTTCCGAGGTGGTAAATCTTTACGGAAGTAAATTGCCCAGTCTTGCTTCCACGGAGTGGCTGGTGGGTTTGAGCCACCAACCTTTGGTTAGCAGTGAGATGCCTTAGGCACTGTGCTACTAGAGCTCCTTATAAGATAGGATATATAATATAAAATATAATAGATGAGAGCAATCATGTTTGTTGATGTTAAGACTTCTTCAGTAAGCCCTGGTAGTGCAGTGGTTAAGCAGTAGGCTGCTAACTGAAAGGTCAGAGGTTCCAACCCACAGTGTACTCCGTGGAGAAAAAGCCCTGGTGATTTGCTCCCATGAAGATTTCATCCTAGGAAACCCTATGGGGCAGGTCTGCTCTGTTCTTTATGGGCACTATGAGTCAGAATTGACTGAACCACACATAACAGCAGATATCCTTCCAGCTTTAAAATTATGTGATCCCTTGAGTGTTATAAATAGGGGACCAGATATTATAGAAATACAATGGAGGGAAGCATTTTTTAGAGTAGTGCAAAACTGTAAAGACATCTGAACTGCTGTTTAAAAGATAGGCAGATTATTTTTATTTCCTGTATAGATTATTTTATTTTTCCCTAAGGAAAGGCAAAAGCTGCTACTTCTTTTTTGTTTTTGTAAGCTGTTTTGTTCATTATAATATACTCTTTCAGTTCTGTTGTTAGGCATGCGACAACCACTCCACCTCAGTCATCTTCTCCAAATGATGTGAAGTTGTTAGAGGATGAATTTATAATTGATGAGTCAGAGAAGAGTTTTGCCACTCGATCTTGGATTAAGATACCCAGAAAGGCTAAGCCTCCGAAACAACACACAGTGTCCCCTGTTGAAAGCACTGTAATCCTACAAGGAAGGAAATTGAAGGAAATATATCACAACGTAACGTTTGAGACATTGACAGGTGATCAGCATTCACCTGGAGCTCACCACCCAGTAGAGAAATTTCAGCCAGCTGAAGACAAAAAATTGGGTAAATCTTGTGTTTCAGCAGATGAAATGGAGGATAATTGTAAACCTACAATAGATGCAGTGTGTTCTGAGAATGCAGAAAAGTCATCTGGAAATAAAAGCACTGTAAGACAAAAACAGAGGAAAAAAGTTAAGGCCAATGTTAAAGAACAGCTTGATAAGAGACGGCCTGAAGATGAAAATATAAATATGTCTTTTACGTCCCAAGACAAGTTACAAAGAAATTCAGACAAACATAAGGACATGTGTGAAGAGATGAAAAATGATTATGTTTCCAAAAAACAGATGATACATGTGGGTAAGTATTTATAATTAATATAACTGTAAGCATTAATCCACCATTCTACCTTTCTTTAATATCCCTATTAAGCTTTTGGAAGTAGGCAAAGTAAACCCATCTACCTAGAGCTGCAAAAGCATACAATTCTTTACCATAGTCTCTTTATTTTATATATAATTCAGTTCCAGCTTTCTTGGTTTTTGTTTAACTCCCAAGGTGGCAGCGTAGGTAAAGAAGTAAAGGGGAAAGGCTAGTAAATAAGTTACTTATCAGAACACTAATAAAACAGATCATACATTTTTGAGATTCATTGAAATACAATTTTTTTGAGGAAAAAAACAAGAATAATTTGGGAGCTATTTCTTATAAAGGCAGAAATTCATAGTCTGCCATTTAATCATTCACTTATTTGTCTAACAGTCATTAAATGCCAGACACTGAACTAAGGACTGTTACAAGGATTACTGAGACACAGATTCCACTGATATAAAGATCAGTGTCTTGGGGTATGTACACCAACAGATAACTTATACATATGCACAGAATGATAGTGGAAGCACAGAGAAGAATTATCTAAGTAATATCTTAGTAGATTTTTACATCTTGAGTGACAGTAATTTACCGTCCAAACTGGGACACTTTTGAGAGTACAAGAGGATATTTAGGTATAAACTGGGATTGTCCCAGTCGCCTGCACGTATGGCCACACTGCTTATGTCATCATAATATATTGATTTGACTTTATATTGATGGTACTGAATCATGAAGAAAAGATAAAGTTACATTCTTTGTATCATTTTTTAGGTAATAAAAATATAAGGTGTTATTCTTACAGGAAGAATTCCATCCAGAATAGTTAATGGAATAGAATACATTTATCAAATGTATTAAGCACTTCATGTATTTGATATAATTTAATCCTTGAGAACCTGTAAGGTAGGAGATACTACTCCAAACAGGTTTAAAAAAACTCATCCAGGATCTGTCCTTACTTGGAGCCCATATTCTTTCAGTTGTACCAAGAAGTTTTTTTTTTTTTTTAAATTTTATTTTGATTTGGGTGAAGATTTACAGAGTAAATTCACTTTTCATACAGCAGTTCACATATAATTTGTCTCATGTCATTGACCAAAATTTACAA